TAAATGAACTTGAATGTTGGGGAGGAGGATATAAGAAATAGTTCTTTTGACGTTGGATTTTTATTTGAGATAGTTGTGATTTACTTATGACAGGTGTACACTAAGATGTCTTTTTTTCTCGCTGCATGAGTTCCTTTGCAAGTTTTGGTTCTCTCTTTTTGGCACTTGTGCGCATGTATATGTAAGTTTGCAAACATTTTATTTGAAATGAAGGATTGGCACATATTCAATTATTTCTAAAATATGATTGTTGGAGTTTTTATCGTCACAGAGAATGATAGATGCCTTGCAGTATGTGCGAAAGCTCTTCATCATACATTTACAATTACATACGTGAGTACTAATGCAGCATCGTGGCATTTGTATTTGCTTATGACCGTAAGATCCTTTGTATTGATATGAAAGGGTTTCTTCATGTACACAAGTGACGGTATACGTCCAGAATGTTTAGGATGTAAGTTCCTCGTTGTCATGCCATGTTGATCTTTTGTAGCATTAAAATTGAATATTAAAAGATAACGATATTTAAACATGTACTTTAACATTATATTTTATTCTTTGATTGCATTCTTTGCTAGAGCTGAGATTAGATCATTGATATATATGTCAAGAATTTATGTTTTTCAAAAAGTTGTTTTGCAGAATTGAAATGCATACCAGAGGCGGGAAGGATCATTTGTTGAAAACAGCAATGTTAATGTCACACTCATCACACCCGGGCATATATAAGTCATTTGCCTCTTCTAGGTAATTGATAAGCACAAAGTGAACTACTGTTTACTTGGAATTGGTCAGAAGAAAGGATCTTAGAAAGGAAATTAATGTTTTTAATAGAAGCGATAGCGGTCTGATATTAGATACCTTAAGATTGCACCTAGTCTTGCTTGAAGAGCCTGGACTATCTACTCTAACCAAGGGCGAACGTAGTACCCGGAACGTTCCGATCCTCGTTCGCAATTCCAATTGTATTCGGCGTTCGACCTTTTACCGGATACTGTTCTATCAACCAATTAAAACCTTGTGTAACGCAGATCATATAAAGCCCCGGATGTCGTGTCGTTTCGTTTGGTACACAACTTAAGCCCCGGATATTAAATAAGTCCTTGCTCTAACAACTTGTGTCACGTGCTTGTTGCAAGACTAGATTGCACCAAAAACAAATGAAACGAAATATTTCCTCCCAGCATTCTTTTGAGTTCGACTTTTGACTGGCATGGACCAATTTGGTATTAACATAACGTCAATGATCATTTCCAGAGCAAAAATGTATTCAGTAGATTGATCCCAAAGAGGATTGGCTCCCAGAATGCAATCTTGATGTTTTCAAACAGTGAATCCGATCTTGAAGGATGTTGTGATCACAAAAGATTGAGGACATTTTGAATGTTGATATCGATCAATGTCAAGGTCGAATGTCGATTTGCAATCCCAGGGAGCCAATACTCCTGGATTAACACTTAAGAATAACGTACTGTAGTAGTAGTTGGTCTCAAGGTTGAGTTATTATTTTTTGAAAGAGCACATCTTCCATTATAAAGAGTATTACACAATGTCCGTTGAAATTTAATATTACCCTTTAACATATAATTTGTTTATTTATATCATATATATCAGGAATTCTTTGAACAGAAAACAGGCTGGTTTCTTTATTTATAGGGACGACCCTCGTATTCTGTTGTTCTGTAGTTCCATGAATAAATAAATAGTTCAACGTGACTGGTTGCAGTTTGACGTCTGAATCAAATATTCATACTGTCTGTTCTTAATGTCTATGTCAGGATATGGTTATGGTCGGACATGATACGTGACATAAATCACTTAGTGTTTTATAACTATTGCAATGTGCTCTAGAGTAATAGGTGTATGTTATATTTTCACTATTTCGTTTAACAATCATTTAAGTGGACATGAAAACGTTATCATTGTCAGCAAATTAAAAAGCTTTTAGATAATAGCTTAAAACAATTCGATTTATTGAAGATGACATGACATTGTAATGTCCTGTTATATCACATCCAACTACCCCAACTTATGATTTGGTGGCTCGGTCGGTATATGAAGAGAATCAGGCTTTTGATCCGCGAGGGTCCTAAGCTCGATTACCACACGAGTGCTTTTATGAATGTCTAATATGGTCTGTAACATTGTCATTCCTAATGGGCGCCCTTGGCTCATTAAATTGGTGTCAGCGGTGGTGGGATCATGGCATTTTCACCAGTGACTATATTGTATTCACCGGTGAGCATTTGGGTAGTCACTGAAATCAATGTATTGAAGAGGGTATATTCACTGGTTATAACAAATTTACAATTGATGTTGAAACTGACACATTATTCGTTATGAGCTTTGGTGATTTGCTTTGTTGCTTTCGTCTCAGTTACACATATTCATTTACATGACATAACAAATTTGAAATAATTTTGATTTACTTGTTGAAATAAGATCCAGTTTTTAGCACCCGTATAGTTCAGCGGTAGCGCGTGTATCTCTTACGCATATAGCTCCCGGATTCGATCCCCGGTTCAGGCAATACTTAATTAAGTACTTCTAATCGGGGTGTTTGACTGAGTGTTCCATAACTCGTAAAAAGGCCGTGGTGTGTATTTGTCCGTTGAGTTCAGTTCTAGATTGTGACTCTGAATGATTAAGAATCTGTTTAATAATTGTGTACCATCCAGCGTTGGCAACTAAAATCACATGATTTGTGATGTTGTATCTTCACAAAGGCCATGGTGTATACTGGCGTTATGTGTGTTATGGCGCGTTATGAACGCTGGGCTATAAAGGATAGTTAAATCGCTCTATCAGTTTGCAGTTTCACACCGGAATAGCCTGACTACGGTAAAGTTAGATACCGTTGTCAAAAATGGCGGACATAGCCGCTTCAACTGTTTAATCAATTGGTCCTCATTTCAAATTGGGTCGTGAATCGCCACAATAAAGCGTCTTCGATATCGTCAATGACAACGGAATCTGAATTTGAGTAATTTAGAAAGACAACGGCATATGGTAATTACAATGTCCGTTGTCCCGTATCTCATTTTGATCGGTTAAATTAAAGACTTTATTTCGATGGTAGATCATTATTAACTGTACAATGAGTATTGAGACACTTTGATTGAATGTTGTTCCAAAGGAATTTAGTCTAGGTGCTCTATTAAACATACAATTCATGAAAATCTAATTGAAGCGACGGTTACGTCCGCCATTTGTGACAACGTTATCTGACTTTACCGTAGTCAGGCTATTCCGGGGTGAGTTTAGGGTTATTGTTAAGAATATCTACGGAGTCGTCTGTGTCGGGATGATAAATTAGTGTAAAGAACAAATAAGTGGAGCTTAACCCATTGCCGTAAGAGTGCGATATTTGAACCCCAGTCGGTAAATATTAGTACATTTGGAAGTGTTCTTGTTGGCGAAAATGAGTTAGTTATTTTTAGAAGTAATTTATGTTCCTCTATAGATACATTTTCGAGCGGTGTATTAAGATCAATTCAATTTGCGCAAAAGCGTCCTAAAAGATCACATCGAATTATTACAGAAGCGACAATAGTAATGGAAAGTCTAACCTTAAAAGTCTTCAAGACTGAAGTTGCAACATTAGACCCTCCTAAAATAGCTGCTTGTATTTAAAGCAAGCCATGATCTCCAAACGTAGGCATTTCATATGGCGCACTTTAAAAGATCATGACCGACTGAATAAGTTGTTTAACGTTAACAGAAGCCATATGATATACTAGATTAGTATATTAAATATGTTGAAATTACTACTACTCTGCAACTTTAGATGTGATCTACGAAACGCTTGGATGCTTGATCACCACTTATTCTTGATAAACAACGTCTTGATTAATGCTGACAAAGATGCAACGCGGCACTACCATATATAAGAAAAATATGCATTTGTGGAGAGCTATACGAACGAAGAGCATGCTGTTTTCACTATCGGCAAAATAACAAAAACAGCGTAATTGCAAAAGGAAATCAGCTCGGCAAGATTAAATACAATACTTCAAAGCCAGTTGGCACGTGTATGTGTGTTATGAGATAAGGTTTGACGAGAAGGAATATTAATGTGTTATAATTCTCAGTGAATAAGTCAGTGCCCGTGAGGAAATGAGACCGATAAATAAAGCAACGTCGGAATAGTTAAGTCACCAAACGAGAAGATAATAGCATTGCTTTATGCGCAGCGATATGCAGATGATAAAATATGTAATAAAGTTATCATTCAACGGGAGTCAAACTGACTACTAGTGGAATTACACGGATATGTTTGTTGTAAGGTAAGACAAAAGAGCATTCGAGTTTCTGCTTTACTTTAAGAGATTAGCACGAGATAAGAAGAGCAAGAAGGAAAGGAAGAAGGGCGACTTACTCACCTTAGACACGCAACACTCTTTGAAAATACACATTGACGTAATGAATAAAACAGGATTAATAGAGTGGTGTTACAAATAAGACTACGTTTAATTATTGATACTCAGTACAAGGACAAGTTTATATGCTAGAAGCAAATTATTTTTGACCTTCCTTCCTTAAAGAATGAACGCCGGCGATGCGATACATTTGAAAGGGGTGTGCAGTACATTCATTGACGCACTGTCAAAGGACAAAATGTTTAGTGATGCATATCGTACTTGATATCTAAATGGAAATAAAAGAGAAAGGCTTTAACGTGATATCTATGTTAAACCAAAACGGAATACGTTAGGAAAATGTCAATTTGAAATCAAAGGCCATGGATACAACGTTATAAATGATAATGTTGAATTCATAACACTGAATTAGAGAATATCAGTATTACTGCGACAATGTCGAATTTACTATTGACAAATCTTGGAACGGCAGCTGGGGAAGATGATAACGAAGAATCGGAATACACAGTTGTAGAATCGAGGACACCGTCATATTTCATGCATAAACCTTTCCGCTGTTGCAAATGTACGTGCCCCGCCAAGTGCGCCGGGGCGAGATGCGGTCAAGCGTGGTACATGTACTTGATAACTATAATCGTTGTTCTAACAGTGATACTGGTAGTATGTGGTATCCTTATGGTGAAACCAGCGCTGAATGCAACACATTTTAAGCCAACCCATTGCACAGTTGATCATTCACAAGTTCTTAAACAAATGACACGCTGTACGAAACTCTCTGGTAAAGTCATGCATACGTCACGGTTTCCGTGTTTGCAGATATACGTACGATATCTAGGAGACCGGAATAATGTTCACACGTCTCTGTTACATGACACTGATATTCAACTCGCAGAGTTTCCTAAGGTAAGGCGGCAGAAACAAAACATTTTTTATTAAGCGTAAAATAAACAGTTTATTTTTCATTAAAAAAGACACCTATTGGAAATAGTAGTTCTTAAGGCTGCGTAAACAAATTAAAAGTAGGATTAAGACTGCTTAATCTCACGTTAAACGTATGTTTATCTACTTGCCCTTTCTGAAGTAATGTTTTGTAATTTAATGCTTCAAATATAATATTATCATATTCATGTTTCAAAACTAAGATTACTTCTCTGCAGTAATGTTTTGTATAATTCAATGCTTCAAACAGTACATCATATTATATCGGATTCATGGATTAGAACTAAGATTACCTTTCTGCAGTAATGTTTGTAGCTTAATGCTTCAAACGATACATCACATGTTTTGTAATTCAATGCTTCAAACAGTACATCATATTATATTGGATTCGTTTATTAGAACTAAGATTACCTTTCTGCAGTAATGTTTGTAGTTTAATGCTTCAAACAGTACATCACATTATATCGGATTCGTGTACTAAGTATTAAAACTAAGATTATATTTCTGCAGTATTTTTTGTCATTAAATTCTTCAAACAGTACATCACATTATATCGGATCCGTGCACTAAGTATTAAAAGCAAGATTACCTTTCTGCAGTTATGTTTTGTAATTTAATGCTTTAAACAGTACATCATATTATATCGGATCCGTGCACTAAGTATTAAAACCAAGATTACCTTTCTGCAGTTACATTGTGTATGTTTTGTAATTTAATGCTTTAAACAGTTTATCATATTCATGTATTAAAACCAAAATTACCTTTCTGCAGTTATGTTTTGTAAAATGCTTTAAACAATTTTCTTATTGTTGATTTAACTTTCTCTTAGTATTGAACATATTTGATAAAGGAAGTAGTGCGCTTTCCATTATGATCTCCCCATGAAAAAATCAATTCATCATTTTCAAAATTAATGTGCACATACATGTACACTGTATAAAATAACGAATATTGCTTGCAAATAACGAGCAATTCTAGTGGTTATTTGCTTCAAATTGCATGTTATAACCAGTAATCATCACTGACAGAACGCAGACAATAACTGCATATATGGAACACACATATATGCAGCTGCATATAACAAACATCCACGGAGAATACTGACTGCATATACGGGTACTGTCACTGAGTATATTTGCTTATATTCAGACATACTTTGCATATTTGCTGTTTACTTGTGATTATATGCAGCGCTGAAACTGCATATACCTGCTTACTTGGAATAGACAAATATAAGCAGTTGAGTATACTAGATATATATAAAAATTAAAACTGATTATATTTGCATATGATCTGCATATATGCCACTTTTCATGAGTATTTCTGCATATTTTGAGATAAGTAATATGCAGCATGTGAGTATATTGAGACATGCACAAGAATATAAACTAACTACATTAGTATATATAGAGTCAAGATCGGTATATTTGACATATTATATTCTTGCTTATTTAGGAGGACTGGTAGACGCTGTTGTGTGAATTGGGCATAAACATCTGTTAATGTAAATTCCTATTTATGAGCATTTGAGTGTTGTAGCTATAGGTTTGGTTTACTGTACTTGTTTTTTGGGGTAAGGATTTGAAAAAATTGCACATAAACAGCTTTTACGTTTTTTTATAATTTATTTTAAATTTCTTTAGATTTCTATGTACAGAGTAGGCCAATGAGACGACCTCTATAAGTAATAACTTCAAATAGTATACATGTCATGATATAGGGAGAAATCATTGTTACAACTTATTAGCCCCATAATCGCTTGAAGATGGGAATGTTTTGATCCACCTTTCATATCACTTGATACATATATGGTCATAATTTACATTGCACTGTAATTATATTTCTTCCTTTAAATGATACATAATTATTGTAGGCAAAAATATGAATGCCTATTTCAAATCATTGAAAATTATATTCTCTCTCGAATGATAAGCCTAATAATGATTTTACTTTTAAATGGATTTACTCATTATGTTTTGGCCAAACCTGTATACTGCTAAATGAATATATTTACATTGCATTGTACATGATGTAACATTATATTTTTATCTTTAAAATGGTGCGAACTAATGCTCCAAATCAATGTACGCATATTGCTCAATCTTGAAAACTGTGTTTTTTGTAGCAAGATATGTCCTGTCTTCCGGTAGCAAATTCTCGTACGATATCGAATTCTGCTTTCTCCATTCAAACTCCTTTCTTCTTCATCCTAGTGTCTTCTACACGTTTCTCAATATCTATGTAAATTCAGCTATCACATGAATTCTATTTTGCGGGAAATTTGACACTGCACACAAAGACACTGCTCTGAAGACACTCCTCTGAAGATACAAAGACACTGCTGTGTATTTTATTCAATGATACAAAGACATTAGTTTATAGCATACTGTTCAGCCATACAGTATCATGGACCTTCCAAGACAATCAATTTATTAAATTATCAAGATCAATGCTAAATCTTATGTTTACAACAATTTGCCAGGTGTCTTTATTGTGTTTTTTTTTCATTATCAAACTCAATCATCTATCCATTAAGGGAAATAAAAAGCAAGCTAAAGTTTCACTTACGAGAGGCTTCGTCGTGTTCCTGGGTCTGGCGTGGAGCAAATGGCTGACTGGCTAAATTGCGCCATGGGCTTCTAATCAAAAGCCCATGATTGCGCCAATGTGTAGACATTCTCACAGTATATGGCTTTATGATTATTTACTTCTCAACAGACATTGGTCATTTGGCAAGCTTAATGTTTCCCTGTCAACCACCTGTGTGCGTGTCACATATGATTATTACTTGCGCATCATAGCTCGGAGACATGCAGTTTGCTCAATATCCACCCCCTCATTTTTAGTTATTCAATAACAAAATATATTGTTAAAACATAAAATACTAAATTCTGCGACATTTTGCTGCTATTGAACAGTCATAATGCTGTTTTGATGAACCCATGATTTGACATCTCTAATAAGTAATCTAAACATAAACAATTACTAATTACCTGACACAATTGCACATAATGGCCGGATGTTTGGAGAAGCACCTTGATAGTTGAAACCAGGAATTGTTTTGAATGGTATTTGTGATTGGTATAGAATTACCTTTTCATTCTTAGCATTCAAAATACAAACTAATAATTCACTTTTTGATGTATTCAGTTTTAATTCAAATAACAAGCTTATTCATAGTAAATCTGAATGACATTCTGATGATTTAAGAATTGTATTAATCTTGCGTCAAGATCCTTGACCCCCTCCCGACATAATACATGTATCTCTTTAATAATCTGCAATCAAGAGATTGATAGACATAATTTAATCAGATAAATGGCTTATCTAGTTGTAAAATATTTGTTCGGACCCTTATTTTATATTTGTGTAGGCCTTGGTGTATATTATCTATATGGGGATTCAGCAGGGGATTATTGGGTCAAATGTATTTTCCTCGCTAATGTCTGGGTCACATTTGCCGCAATTCATCGGCCGCTGATTGAGTATTTTGTTCCAAACTGAAATATGGGTTGCAATCAAATGTTTCGAAAGCCATTCACCATGATTTAAGTAAAACATATTATTAAAGCTCTTTTTTAGACATTCAATCAATTTAAATCAATCAAGTTTGAATGCGATTGCATAAATGTATTTGCAGATGTAGTGTATTTTACTCCAGTTTCACATAATAAGAGCTGTCATTTGACATGTAATACTGAGTTTTCAATATTTTGATACAATTGTTTATTATTTTGCGATAATTAAAGCTTTAATCGGGGATAGAGATTTCGACAAAGTACACGTACATTTAGTATTACAAGTCAAAAACCTTTTTTACTTTACATCATAATCCCGGGATCATAATTTACTAGGAACCCAGATGCTAGAGGAAGCAGAAGATAAACTCACATCAAATACGCTAAATGAAATTATTGAAAATATAATTGGTATTAAAATTCTCAATATTTTATTTCAACAAATGCCTTGATCTCAGATATTACTTTCCCATGGATTCAAAAATCATCCCAGAACTAATTATAGGTAACACCATTGTGCACAAGCCGTCTGATTGCATTACTCGCTAAAATAACATCCTTAGAAGTGAACAATCCAAACATCTGATAATAATGTAGCTAAAGTCCCCCCTCCCGGTATCCATGCCCACCTTGTTCAGTTGTATCCTTAAAATGTTGAACTACCTTTTGCATTCCTTCAGAGATAATCGGTTAATTTCTGAATTTAAAAGAAATTTAATTATACAATGTAGCACGGGGATTTAGAAAAACTGGCTATAGAAATTAATCCATTTAACTATAACAAACGGATTAATATCAGTGAGAACTTAACTCATTTGCAAGAATTGAATAATTAGGGATTAAAGTTTTGTGAATGTATTTGGGAATGGAAAACAAAGCAAGGTCCAATTCAAAATAGAAACAAGGGTATCTCTGATCAGGTTTTGTCTCTTCATTCTCATATTATCAAGTTATCAAAAAATGATATTTTGATTCACAAAACTGCACCGAAACATTGAAAAGTACACGAAGGCAACCGCATTTGCAATCTATAGTTCTCAAAAAGCAGGGTTATTAAAAGCCAGTTTCAAACTGAAGTTAAAAAGCCGGTTTTTGAAACCCAGTTCCTAAAATTCAAATTAGAATACTATCTTTCTCTTCTATTTAAACTTAAATCAATTTATTATAAACAAACTATCCCGGGCAAACTATGACCAAGTGCATCGGGAATACAAAACTCCTGTAAATGAGTTATATACACGTAAGACAATGAAATCAACGCTGATTGAAACATAAACACTATAAAATGATTTAATCTTCTTTCGATTCCATTACCTGTCATATTTTTTTCTAAATACCGGCTTTACCGGGAGGAATTTAACATGGGCTTTAATTCAAAGGCAAGAATCACTTATTAAGCGGATTAAAAGATGTTGGACGTCGCTCCAGTGATTTGTATTTTATGGT